GCGGGGAGGGAGAGGAAAAATGAGGAGCTGATGCCAGGGGCTTAAGTGGAGAGCAAATGTTTTGAGAATGATGAGGGCATGAATGTACAAATGTGCTTTACACCACTGATTTATGTATGGATTGTGAAAAGAGTTGTATGAGCCCCTAGTAAAATGCTTGAAAAGAAAAAGAAAATAGTCTTCTCTTCAAATGCTTCTTTTGAATAGAAATAATAATTAAGAAAATACCTAGATTCCCCAAAAGAAAGTAATAGTTATAAAACCCGCAGTTTAACACAAAGGCTCAATTTACCAATGGAGGCATCATGCCTTTGCTGGAAGGCGGGATAACAACTCGAAGATCTGGCTTTCGACTGTTCATTCCAAGATTGCTACCACCAGGAGGGGGGGGGGACTTTGTAGGCATGATTTTGCCTAAGCTATTTGCACCAGTAGTTCCAATCAAGTTTTGAGATGCTATTGAGTTTACAAAGCCATTACCTAGAAAAAAATAAATAGAATTCATTAGCATTGGAAGAATCATTAAAACACTTTGGCACAAATATGAACCAAGTTTTTTTCCAGTATAAGCTACAGATTAATTTTATAACAAAACTTAGTAGCTAAGCATATATTTTTGATACTTTAAAAATAAGCCAAGAAAGGTAATCCACAACTGAAATATATGTAACGCTTAAGACTAATGTCACTTTATTTTCCAGTTCTACTTATTAAATTGACTTAGAGATACTTAAAACCCAATACATGCTTCTAATAGACCTTTTCATCCTGGGGGCCAAGACCAAGGAGTTATAAGAAAATGCCTGGCACTGGCTCATTCATTCATTCATTCATTCATTCACCTGACAGCAAAGACCACTACCATTAGGTTCTGGGTTCAAGGCCAGGTATTGAGGCTACTCCTTGACTGCAGGTTACTTGGCACACAGTTCTAAGGTCTCTTTTTCACCAGACAGATTTTCCTTTTGGCCCTACTTCTCTGTCAGTTCTTTCAAATGCTACTAAGGCTTTTATTACATATTTATCATTCATCTGACTTGAATCATCTTATTTCTATTTTTAACTTTCTCCAACATAAATAACCCTCTATCTCTCTTAGATGAAATAAGGAAACAGGTATATTGTGTTACATGCTTTACCAAGTGACCTATCAGGGCTTTATTCTTTATTGTGATTTAATTTGCTGTGGAAACTGGTATTTCTGTTAACTTTATGGTACGATTTCTTGCATTGTTTCAATTTACTTTTGAATGAATATATATTAAATTTGAGATGAACCTCCTTTGTAGCTATTGGAGCTACCATTTCACTGCAGTTTACTTACCACACAGATCTAATTCTTCATTTTCACCAGCCATCAAGCAGCTTCCTGTATATTGCTAAGCCTCACAAAATATTGGGGCTAAAAAAACAACAACAAAGAAAATTTTCTTTTCCCTTTTTACTAGGCCATCCCCTGTGACGCAGAGTTCACCCATAAATTACACAGGTAGCGGTAATTTTCAACCCAGATATTCGGAGGATGCAAAGGGTATCTCAGATAATTCCATGAAGAAAATAGGACTTAATAGAAAGTTCCTATTACATACCCCCCCCAAAATTGTGAGATTAACATTAGTACGTATAATGTTTTTCTTAATTCTAGAATGCATGCGTGTGTGTTTTCAATATATACTGTGGTAAGATCGATTTACTTGATTTAAGCTCAATTCTGAAGGGTAAAGCAATATTTCCCCTCAAATACACTGTTAGATGATGCAAAGATATAATTTAGAAGAACACATTATCAAGAAACATTAATATTATTTTCCCATGTGAATTCTATGATGATCCACAGTAACTCATGAGAATCAAATTACAAGTGTGAAAGAAGATCTGAACGCACAGTATTTCTTGTGTAAAGTCAGAAGTTTGCAGCAGATAATTACCACTGGATGACATAAGAATTAAAGTATCTCTTCTACATCAATAAGCCCAATCTAACGTACCTGCTGTTTAAATGTGTTTACAGTTTGGTATTTTATTGCCGTAACACAGAAATGACAAAACAATCTGTAAAAAAAACACTCACCAATACCTACAGAAATTTCCTAAAGCTAATCTCATTTACAGTCCTACAGTGATGAAAGAGACGACTTATATCAGTCTGGCTCATATCGCAGAATGAATATAAATCACAGCAGCTATAATAATGTAATCGGGTGGTCTTTAAAGTATTCCATGACCTTATGACTATGCTTCTTTGTGGCTGATGATGTCAATGTTTCCCTACGCATCCATTCTATAAGTTGAATTAATGTGCAGATTTCAAAGGATTCTGTAAAATTCAAAGAAGGCTTAATAACCAATTTTACCATTTTAATAAATGCTTAATAAAAATCTGATAAGCTTTCAACTAATAAACAAACATGAATTTTTTAAGTTTATAAAATTAATTCATTTGTATAAAGAATGGCTTCAGGTTTCCAAAATTTAAAAAAATCATGGGCTTTTAAATACTTGATGGCATATTAATTGGATTTAATAAAAATTCCTGTATAATGGTGTGGTGGTTACATAATCTGGTATCAATTTGAGGATTCAGAGTGAAGGGGTGGAGCCTAGCCTATCAATCAGATCACAGCCACTGAGGCCTCTGTGTGGGCATGGCCTTCTCCTGAGGATTCTGGGAACTCCTGTCTTCCTCCTTGGAGGCAGGAGACACTGTCTGCTCACTCCCTGTGAGGCATCGCTGTTGAGAAGACACATGGAGATAGGCTGATGGCTGGAGAAGCCACGTAGAGAGCCCTGCCAGCACTGAGACACTTACATCATCACTGGATCTACAAGACTTTCGACCCACTGCCCTGTGATTGTCCTGAATTTGGCATCATTGCATGGCAATGTTTTATGCATTGTTTTATAAGTCTGAAGAGGAATTTATAGATTGGTATCAGACATATGGGCCATTATAGGGTTTATGGACTTGATCTGGTCTGAGCTGGGATGTTTTCTCAATATTCAATTGCTCTTGAATATAAAGCTCTTTTTTATCCACAGATGTCTATGAATTTGTTTCTTTAGTCTACCCAGACTAATACAGATGGATAAAAAGAGATCCTGTCCATTGGCTGTATGTAATGCTTGTACGATCCTGGGTCTTCTCTTTCGGAACACTCTATACGCCTTCTCAGTGTCTCTTTGGCAGGCAGCCCAGATGAAGCTTTATTTCTACTTCTCTTTCAGAGGCTTCATCATCCCCACGGCTTCACCCAGCAGAGATCCTCGAATCTGTCTTTCTCCTTGTTTCTCTGACTTCCTGGTGCATATTCAAGCACCTGGTGGTCACTTCCTACCAAATACCCTGCCATCCTTCATCACCCACATCACCACCTTCACATGCTTTGTTAGCTCTTCTTTATAACATATTTTACCTCATCTCTCTCTTTGTATTGCAACTGCCTCTGCTACATTAGGACCTTCACTCCATGTTAACAATTCTAAGAACTTCTTGATTCCTTATAATTCTAGTCCAATATATGTGTTTTCTCTTTCTCAACATGGTTTCTAGAAATGAGGTTGTTGGATGTGAGATTCTACTTTATGCTTAGTTTTTAAACATTAACCCAAAGTTAAAATGAGTCTCCAAAATCATGTGAATACAAAGTCACTGAATTGAATATTAAGTGGGGAACTATAGCTAGTCAATCAGAGATTACCCTAAGAAAGAGCTATAGAATATACAATATGTACAAAACTGGCAAATTTGATTTGTACAAATATTAACACAAAAGGAAAAATGTTTTATGTAAAAAATGGACAAATGTTCAACTTCACAATAAAAATTTTATGATTATAAGAGTATCATATCAATATAGCATCATATGAAGTTCAAAAAATAGAAATACCAATGTTCCTATATCCAAATATAACTATTCTAATCAATATGGATTTTTCCCTTTATTTTATGTGCATAGCTTTTACAGTTTTAATTTATAACTAAAAAAGAATTCAGTTGAAAAATATTTTTACTTAATTTTTATACTGTTGAATATGGTTTATTCCTATTACCTTCTACTATAAAGTTATAATAAATCTTAGCATATTTTAAAATATTTCTTTAAGAAGATTTCTAAAAAGATTACTGGGCTGGAGCTTTTGGAAGTATGAACACTTTTATAACAACTGAAACATCTTGCCATAATCATTCCAAAAAGATTTTAACTAAATCATTTAAAAACTAATTTTAAAATATTTATATAAGTATTTGTAGATTATAAAGTTGTTAGAAATGTGGATTATATCTAAGATGTTGATTGTAATAAATAATGCTCAGCACATACATTTACATATCTCTTGGTACTAATGATGGATAGATTTATTTCTTTGCACCACATAGGAATGAATGAAATTGCCGTATCGTAGAATACACATATCTCAGCGTTAGAAATCATTGCAACATTGGTTGTACCAATTTGTACTCCTACCATCAGTGTATGAGAGTTTCTGTTCCACAGCCTTGTCAACTCTGGGTATCTATTTCAATTTCAACATTCATTTTGTTATAGGTATGCATGCAGTGCTATTTTGGTATAATGCTTTGTGGTTTTAATTTTGTATTTCCTTTATTAGAGATTGAGCGTCTTTTCACATATTTATTAGAGCAGAGTACAGCTGCTTTCATGAAATGCTGAGGGAACATCTGGGGAACCCTGTCTGACCGCCCTGGTTTCTAGGCTATCACCACACGGCCGAAGTCAGCCGTGGCTCCATCCTCTATCCCTTGTTGTCTGATTCTTATGCTTTGTCCCTCCCACAGTTTCCTCTACTTTTCAGCTTGGTGTGTTCATTCATTGCAATAGCCAAATAAAACTCACAGACAATATCGTGCGTATGAGGTTTACTAGGAAGTTAGTTGCTTACAAAAACTCAGGAAACAATTATTCAGACAGAATAACCTTTTCTGAGCTGTGCTCACAGGAAAGCCTCTCTCTGGCCTTTGGCCTCTCAGCCACAAAATCCATTGGCCTCTGCCCTGTTTGTGCAATGTTACACAGCTCTTTTGGGGCTGCTAATGCTTGCTCAAGGTGAACATCACTGGCATGAAGGTACTCAACTCTAGCTTTGTTGTCAGCAAACCTGCTGCTACCGTTGCTGGGCGACACTGAATTGGTGCATAGCAACCCTACGTGCAGCTGAGTGAAACACTGCCCTGCACCGTCCCCATAACTGTTATGATTGTTGCGACCGATATATCAATTCAACTTGTCGAGGGTGTCTTCCTCTTTTACACTGCCCCTCTTCTTTACCAAGCATGATGCTCTTCTCTAGGGCCTGGTCTCTTTTTCTGGATTTCTCTGCTTTCTGCCAAGGTCCATCAGATGTCAGCAATGATATCCTTTGCTCCATGTCCTCTCCTGAAACGAGCCTAACCCTCCAACAGCTTCCCGTCAATGTACTGCTGCCACTATTGTTGATGATCTTCAGCAACACTGTATTGC